CAAGGACCACACACTAGGGATTAGAGGAAACCCAAGGGGTTATGTGGGAATGTCAGAGAGAGAGATAAATAGTGTTTGGATTACAGGAGGATTCGTTCGAAATTCGAGGGCCCTTTTGCAAAAATGCCAGCGCGTGCGGGGCTCTTTCACCGTGGGCCGCTCGCTGGGCCGGCCTGCTGTGCTTGGCCGTGCTCCGCGCTTGGGCCATTGGGCCACCAGGCCAAATTATTTGACACCGGCCCTTTTTTTTTCTAAAACATTTTCTAATTTAGTTTCTAGGGTAAACTTGTGAATTCAATATAAATTTATGTAGTTGACAAAAAATTATGAAACTAATTTGGTTAGGTTCCTAAAATCATAATCTATCTGTTAGTGTGTTTGGTTCACATAACTCTAAAATATTTTAAGGTTGCTCTAAATACTTTAACATGCTTTAATATTATTAAAATATAAACTTGTAAGAATTTTTATAATCAATCAGTGCTAGTGTTAATTCTAAAAAATTTACTGTAAGTTCCTAGTATTATTATAGGTTACTGTAATTTTTGTAGCTCCATAATAATTAGTTTGCTAAGGTAGCTAAATGAGCCCTAGTTCAAAAATATATATATATATATATTTAATTAATAAAATGCCGAAACATCTTGGGATAGTAGAACTAAAACATTTTTTTGGGAAACGACGCCTTACTCGACCACGTGGACACGTAGCCTAGTGCGTTAGCCGTTAGAGCTAGCTCATTAGCTTGAGAGGCGTCAACGTATTTTAAGAGTTACGGTTGCCATTGATTAATTACGTTTTCTACATTGCATCCATGTATATCATAATAGGAACAATGATCGATCGTGGAGTTGACCAGAGTAGCAGAAAAGATGATGTCTTGATGATCATGTCACCATGATGGAATGCTAACTTTTGGTTACATCTTACCCAGGCAAGCTCCGGTGCATAACCCCTATTATTCTGTACTTTATTTTATGCTTGTGCATTAAGTTTTATGGAGTTGAATGAAAACCACTTGCATATATATATCCTCATCCTATGAGTCCTACTAGTATGTCAAGATCGTGTAAATTGCTATGCTATAGGACCCGGTAGAAGTCAAGTAATTATCTGTCACTCGCTTGAGATAGGAAAGATATTATTGTTGTTATTATATTACTATCACATGGAATGTATATGGAGGATAATTGGAGACCGGGCAGAATGGTACGTTGGATCAGGACTTGGATAGGCATTCGGGCAAGGCTCGAATTGCACTTGTTCCGCCTGTGTCGATTGAGGACCGTCCGTTGTTGTGGATGGTAGTCAGGTCACAAACTTATTATCCTGAGCACATACTTGCTTATGGGAGCGGGAAGACTTGTTGCTCTCTTATCATGGGTTTCCGCTCTTTCCGAACCGACTTTTAGGGGGTGGGTATTAGGTGGAGGTCTAAGCACCATACCGAGACCGGGTCTTGGGTGTTGGGGGCTTGGAGTCCAAGCTTAGACGGGGACCTGGACCCCTTAACAGGAGTGGAATGGGTTGGTGTTGATTGTGCCTGGGGTACAAGCGAGGCATGTATTTTAGGGTACCCAACTGAGCTACATTGATTCGTGAATCACCGTTTCTACGAGATGGTACGACTTGGCTATGGTCTAGCACTGTAGTAAGAACTGGAATATGAAAGATGGTAAAATAGTTCTGATTGCTTACCACCTGCTTGAAAGTAGCATAGGTGCTTACATAAAATGATCAGTTAATGAACTAATGATGACTGCTAATAAAATCAAATATAAGGATGCATGTTTGGTAATGCTTCCTGCAGATGCAATAACCCACAGGCCAAATAGCCTTGCATATCATTGAAGTCTTTTATTTTCCTCCTGTCGGGTAAGTCTTGCTAAGTACAATCGAGTACTCAGGGTTTTATTCCCCCTATTGTAGGTGATAGATGAATGCTAGGGCTGACACTTGTGGAAACCTTCTGGTGGGCTCAAAAAGGATTCCTTTAACGCTGCGATCGTAGTGTTTATTTATAATCCTCACTAAAGGTTTTTATAAGAAAAGATGTAAAATCTGCTAGCATCTCTTGTATATAAATGTCCACTATATTAATACTTCGCCATGTCATTAAATTAATCTTTGTTTCCGCGGTAACTCTGATTATATGTTTATTTTCCGCTGCAAGATAAAACTTGCGAATTTGAAATGTATAAATCGATTACATGCAAACTATTTTAATCTCGCTGTTGCATTCAACTTGTTTAAGCACACTGGTGTTGTAATAAAGTGATGGAAGAAATGGTTAAGAATGTTATAAGCTTTATTCTCTCATTCATGATCCTAACAGAAAAATTGTGGAGTTTCGAGTTCTCCCTCGGGGCGTGCTCGACGGAATGGCACAATTTAGTGCACTCTCTTGGGTACTTAGCGTCTAATGGAAGACAAGTACTCTTGAGAGAGCATTAGATTGGGCGGTTCTACCACAATAGGGTGGGAGCCAGTGGCCAGTACAAATCATATTGGTAATTATTCAGCAGATGACGAGCCTGAGTACGACTACCAGGCCAATGGATGGGAGGATTAGAGGGTCTTGTCCTATGCACAAGATTGCCTATGAAGGAGGAGCCTTCACCTGCTAAGGCACTACGTCTACTCGGATGCTGTTATGGATGCTGTGTGATGAGTGATTCCGTCGAGTGGCGATGTAATAGTTAGGGTAAATCTCTCTATTTGTACCCTTCTAAGATAGGTATTCGATGTATGACTTGTGATATCAACTAAGATTCAATAATGTGATGGCGTGATCTCCTGGGACTATCACATTATGATTTGTATTTGTGGATTTCCCTTCGAGGAAATCGTGGATCATTTCAGTATCGGAGAGTCAGCACTCTGCACAAGTCCTTGTTGGAGAACCCGCACAAGGGCTTGGCTCCCCCTTGATCCACGCAAGGACCAAGTGCTCTCTACGAATTAATTCTTCACCACTACGGCATGGTGAATCACCCACAATCGTTTATACCATGGCTTGGGCCTCACACAATAATCTCCAAGAGATCACCGAGCTCCTTAACACCACCAAGCCGTCTAGGTGATGCTAATCAACAAGAGTAACAATAACAAGCTCTCACTTTACCGAACCAAGCCTAACGAGAAGAGTGGATGTACATTTGCTACTCCCTAAACACTAATGGAGTCCATAATTTTGCAATTAGCAATTCCCAATCACTCTACTAAGCTTGAACTCCCTCTTGCTCTCCCATAGATGTATCCTGTGGTTTAGAGTGGCAAGAGAGTAACCATGGCCAAGATGGGAAGGTATAAATACCCTTCACTCCGAGAACTAGCCATTTGAAGCCCACTACATAGAAATCGAGGTCACCTGATGATCCGATGCCTATTTGAACCGAGCACCCGACTAGTCCAGTGCCACTCCAATGGCTACTTTCTCCACTAGCTGTTATTGTGCATGACACAATACATAGTAATGCATAGTTTGGTGCTAGGCTCTGAACTAATCCAGTGGGCATAAAACCTCTCTGGACAACACTAGATGCTCCAATGACTAAGCATCCCTTCTCTATGTTCAGCTAATCTTAGCTGAGCCTCTGTAGCGGATAGTCCGTTGGTCCCTCTACTAGGGCTTCGGACTAATCTAGTGGTACAGAAAGAGCTCCATTCACTTCCATTTCAAACATATACGTGAATGGCTTTGTTTCCAATTGACTTTGGGCTTCCTTGGAGCTACCTAGTACTAAGTTTGACAAGTGTGCACCACACCAACTCAGTACACTAAGTAGGTCAAGCTACTAATTCATACCCACTTTATAGTTCGGTCAAAGGAAAAACAAAGTTCTAAACTACTCTAAGTGTCTCTCAACACCCTTTGACACTTAGATCTAGTCCGTCTTTAACCTTGTCGTATATCCTTTGAAAACTGAAATGAATTCCACCAAATAGAGGCACGAAAACCATTGATTGCCTAACATCAATCATTATTGTGACCTAACTTATAGAGCCTCTACAAAACACATGATTGTCATAATAATCATGTTGTCATTAATTGCCAAAACCGAATTTGGGGCGTAGGTGCTTTCAGGGACCTAGAGTGGAAGGGACTCAAATGCAAGGTTAGTATGTTGCGCTTTTAGGGCTTGTTTGGATCCACATAGATAATAGTTAGCTACTAATAATTAGCTCATTAGATTCAAATATGTGTAGCTAATATTTAGCTAATTGTTAGCTGAATATCCAACTAACAACTATTTCACTAGTTGGACCAAACTAATTAATAGCCGCTAATACTCCCTCTGTCTAGAAACAATAGACATATTTGACCAGAAAATGTCATATAAATAGGTTTTTATGCGCACTTTCTCTTGTAGTACATAGTCCATTAATAAAGAATCAATATCATCTTAAATCCACTACGAACACAGATCTATTCATGTAAATTTCATGCTCTAAACTTGCACATAATTTAACTAATTGTTGTTCAAACTTTATAAATTTGACTTTTTTCTAGTCTAATACGCCAATCAAATGCATATCAAATGCGAGGCCAATATGCCTATCAAATGCGAGCGCAATACGCCTACCAAATGCGAGGCCACCGGAAAGGTGGTGGTTCGAATGTATCGCCACCAACAAGAGAGACACTCAGCTGAAGAGAAACTTTTTTTTTTCGAAAGGTAATCTCAGCACAGCAGAAGCTGCTTCTATTGGCGCCACTCCTTTTCAGGTGAAGAGAAACTCAGCACAGAAGAAACTGCATCTATTGGTGCCACTCTTTGTAAGCGGTGCATGAACATATGATAGGAGTAGCACTGGTAAAATATGGTAGACAGAATCCACCGCGGTCAGAAAGGTTTTTTCAGAGACCATCTCTTCGTTACACCATGACTCTTAGCAATATACAATGGCCATATGAATCGTCAAAGCTAGGCATGCCAAAACGCAGTTCAAGATCGAGGTCAACGAGAGTATTAAGTGGCACTCAAACATCACAAGAACTACGTGATAACAGCTCCTGCTGCCACGAGGATCAATGCAGCAATGGGAATGCCACGGGAGCTGGAGACCTCAGCGCCTGAACGAACCATTGACCCAGCTGGTGGAACTGCCTCCATTGGCTTGGACATTAACTCAGGGACAGCAGCTGCACCAACACATATGTATCAAAAGATTAATTCATAGGAAGGCAACCATGCTATAGAGAATGCTCATTACCACAAAGTACACAATAGTCCATACAGAATAACACAAATTACAAAGCATTCTTCATTACGACACAGTATGAATAGTTAATATAAACAATAACACAAAGTACTAAAGAGTTATGAACTATGAAATGTGCATCACATGATGTGTCATGTAGTTAAGATAGATTATGAACATGTCCAATCTCATGAAACACAAACTGTAATTGCACAACAAACTAACATTCGTGTGGACAGAAAAGCAGTGAGAACCTTTTTTTTTAAATGGAGTGGTAATCTGAAGAAATATGTTCACCTGGGGAAATTTCTTGCCTGGTTGTTGACTGGGGCATGAAATGCAATTCCGGCAGCGCCTTCAGTTCTATGTTCAGGAAATGAAACAACAAAATGATCAGTGAGAAGTTAATGGATTGTGCAATATTATACTCTTATCTCTTTTTTATACTCTTTATCTCGTTCAGTCATATGATTAGGATAAACACCACAAGCAGTACATGCACGATCTGCATGTCAAGAAGAAAGATGGCAGCTTCTAACATAACAAAAATAGGTGAACTTATAGTAAGGGAGACAAATTTGCCAAGCATCAGGTAATGTTTGTCTCCTGCTAAACCATCAGGATATGACATGAAGATTTAGCATCAGGATATGACATGAAGACAAGACAGAACTATCACATTGTTACAATAAATTTCTTTGAGAACAGAAAGGACTCTCATAAATCAAAACGTGGAAAATTGATTAAGATTGGTAGATGACTAATCATGGTTCCAAAGAAACTAACATTTTGTTTAGCACGTGCCAAACTAATGGTGTATCTTAAATTATGAAAGAGAAGGGTGAAAAAAGTAATGTTGCCTTATATTACAAGAATGAAACATGCTAGCTGCCTTTCCCCTACAACGCAAAACAATGGTTGATAAGCAACACAACAAATGAACGAGTCTTGCTAAGGGCCTATTTGAATCAGCTAAGCCTAGTTACTAGTTGAGGCTAAAAATTAGCCCAAATTAGCTCACATATTAGCTTCCTGTTTGGATAGGCTAGAGCTAATTTGGGCTAAAAATTAGCTGGCTAATAATTAGCCCTATGCGGCTATGCATCAAACAGGCCCTAAGAAGTAAGAACACAAACTAACTCAAGCAAGGAATTATAGAATACTTATCTGCCAATCAACTGGATATGACTTGAGACCAAAAAGAAAATCATGCTAAGAACCAGTACCAAAGAGCAGAAATACTACTATTGCAGCAATTAATGTCAGGACAAAACAGAGTCCCTAAAATTTGAAAAAAAAAAATAGACGACTGATTAAGTTGACGACTAGCCATCAGAGAACTGAACGATAATGGCGCGTGGCAGCAAGCAAGCCAGTGCTATTTGTCATCCACAACTTGAGCTAGTCCTCCGTATTCGGTTGTACACAACAAAAGCGCGCAAAGACAGCAGAATTGCGACGAGAACGTGTACAGGAACCTGACGCAACAACGCAGATGATTCTTCAATCATGGTGCGAGAGGGGAGAAAGGCACGAGGGGGCGTGACTCCCTCACCACGGCAGGCGTCGGCGAAGAGGGTGGCGGCCTCCACGGTGGCGGCGGCAAAGGCGTTTCCCGCAGTGCAGGCAGGGAGGAGCGCAGCGAGGCGGGCGGCGTCGATGGGGAAGCCGAGGAGAAGCGGGTTGCGGAGCAGGTGGCATAGGCAGCCCTCCTCTCCGCCTCCCGCCGTCGACGGGGATACGGCGCGGAGGAAGGCGACGCAGCAGGCGTCGGTGGGTGCGGGCGGGGAGCCAGTCAGCGGCGGCGCCACGGCCGCCACGTGCGGCAGGCACGGCGAGATGGACACGATCGTGGCCGCGCACCGCGTGGTCGCGTCCAGGGCGGAGGCGGCGTCCACGGTGGAGGCGGAGGCGGGGGAGGAGAGGAGGAACACGAACACGGCGACGACGGTCACGAGGCGAAGGATGCGAGCTGTGGTAGGGCCCATGGTGCGTGCCGGTGACGGTGGGGGGGAGCCGGTGTGGCGCCTCGAGTCGCGCGCTCTCTGAAATGTTGGTATTGGGTTGGGTTTTGGGGATGGGGATGGGGATGGGCATGGGACATTGGAGAGGGGGCAGGAAGGGTGGCCTCGACCCTCGACGTAAGGACGGCAATGGCGCGGTTTCGGGCCGGAAATCCGCGGGTTCGTTTGGGTTCGGTTTTGAGTTTTGTTTTTCATCTGTGGATATCCGATTGATATCGGAAATAAATTATTTGAAATTAAAACTCATGTTTTACAATATGCTAATAATAACTTATTTACTTATATTATTAAATTTATTCTAAGTTGACTCACGAAAATATTTATTATTTGTTGCCTCTTGTTTATACATGTGAATATATGTGTATATATCATGCATATGTTTATAGAAAATCCTTATTGCTCTTACTATGTTGCCGTACAAAGCGGGTTTTGGGTATCCATTCAGGTTTCGGATATCCGCGGGTTTGGTTTTAAGGATGGATTATCACCCGAATCGGTGTTCGGTGCGGTTTCGGGTGCATAAAGAGTCCACCTGATCCGAATCCGCCCTCGTTGCCATCCCTACCTTGACATAAGGGCGGCCCTGTTTGTTTTGCTGAAATTTGGCTTATGCTGATATTTATGCTGATTTGTTGTGAGAGAGAAATATTTTTTGTTTACTGAAAAGTACTGCTGAAGTAGTTCATCACTGAAATTTAACTTATGTTGATACTTATGCTGATTTGTTGTAAGAGGAAAATATTGTTTGTCGCTGAAGTAGTTCAAACGAACAGGGCACGCCGAGAGAGAGATCTTGTCCGTCGTTTGAAAGGCGGTTCACACGGTAATAATCGGACGGCTGCACTAACCACAGAAGTCCTGGATATCCCGCTGAGAGGAGCGGGAGGTAGCTGGCCTTATGTGTTTGATAACGAACCTAGATAGGCCGTGGTGGAAGGCAGCAGGAAAGTATTCGCGTGATGACATGGCATGTTTTAGGCTCAAAAAATAAGACTCTTAGAGAAACTATTTTTTCCATCTAATATACCTTTGCAACCACCCAAAACTATGATTTTTTTTGGCTCTTTATTTTTTTTCTTTGAACACTCTTGGAGATGCTCTTATATACCAAGAAAAAGTAGATTTTCACAATTCAAACACCACCGCTTCGTAGGCAGGAGGCAGAGAACAGCGTAGATCGGAAGTTAATCTTCAGGGCATATTACATATACCAGAAAATGATATACCTCCAGCAATGAAACACAAGCATAGATATAGGTTACACATAGCCACAGGCCACAGGTACTAATTTGCAGCCTGTTCGGCTGGTGCTGATACGATCGTATATTATTACTGCCGACTGGTTTGGTGTGAGTGAAAAATACTGTTCTGACTGAAAATTTACCATTGAACAAAGCACGGGCCACTGGGTTTAAATTCTGAGAGACATGGGCACATGGCCAATGCAATAGGAAATGCCACTAATGGTGACCTAAGTAACGCGTACACCGTACACTTTGAAGATTACGAGCTTAGCTTGAAGATTTCAAGCACAAAATGGTGTCATCCAGCCATAGCCAGCCAACATGATTTAGGAGATTTTCTTGGCGATGTCCTTGATAACCTTGTCCATGTCGAGCTTCTTCATTGGTGCGAAGGGGCGTGGCATGTTCTGTGCATCAAATGGAATTTTAATTAAACCAAATGAAATCATGTGGATGTCATCATTATGGTATTACATGCAAAGATGGGCTATCCCTACTGTTTTCACAACGTCATGACATCTTAGATGGTGCAAACTACTATTTATTCATCTTAACCTTTCTAACGTTTTTCTAAGAAACAATGTATAGCATGGAATGAAGCGAAATATCTGGTAGGAGTGCAGATTTGGTGCCCAGGAGGGCTGGCGCCCTCCTTAGCTAAATACCATGTTGCAATGTTTCAAAAATCATCACAAAAATCATGTATGCAGTACACATAAAAGTTAAATATAGCCGCAGCAATTTAGTTTGAAATCAATCCTAGATGCCAAGAAACAAATTAGACAAGCAATCAACCTGACATTGACACTTTTGTTTTTTAGTCTCAGAATCAAAGATGAATTTCAATCTAAATTGTTGCGGGTACACTTAACTTTAGGTGTACTACATACATGATTTTTGAAACATTGTAACAAGGTATTTTAGCTAACGAGGGCACCAACACCCCTAGGCGCCATATGATTTTCCATCTGGCAGAATGAAAAGAAGTACAACAATTTGGTAAGCTGATACTGAATAAATTAAATGTATGCAACTTTTGTTTGGAAGGTTTTATCATAAGTAACGCAATGGACAAACGGTTAGCAAAAATGGTACATGTTCGAATTTTGTATTTTAAAGTCAAATTTCATGAATCACTCTAGTATGGGATAATGGGCTGTGCTGTCTCAGGCTAATTGTTATGCACAAAAATGTATCAAATGTTACCATGAGATCATTAGATAGAATTTGGCATAGGCCTCAGATAATAAATAGCTCTAAAATAGACAAAATACATATAGCACACTGAGAGCCTATATGATTTAGGAAAATGACAGTTAAGAATATTACCAACAATGATATGAACACTTCGCCACCTTCTTCACGTATCTCAAGGCAACCACGGCGTGGCTGGGGATTAAAAAAACAGTATAATGGCCATCAAGAAAGTAGGATGTACATGGAAGCTGTTTTAGGGTATCACACAAACCCATGGTTTGGCAAAGATCATGACGATTAACACAGTATGGATACCTTCTGAGGGTTGATTATCACAGACACCCCCGGAACAGAACTTTCCAGGTCCTCCTTCACCTTCTGAGCTCGGATCTTAAACTGTCTGCACTGGGTGCTATAGAATAGCAGAAAGAAGAACTATAAGCAAAGTTGCAGCACAGTATCTCTAAATAAAGTGCATTGACAGGAACAAATATATTAAGAACGATGAAACAAATGGAAGCCTTCAACTAATGAAGGCAACTATTCCTTGCAATGTGTTGTCCCCGAAACAAAATTTGATGACATGTGACCTCAAAAACAATGTTACACAAGGTGCTAGGGACTAGACAGGCAATACAGACCGCTAAGTGACAAGGCAAGCCTTCTTGATTGTACTTTTTGCATGTTAAATGAAGACGTGTGTGTGTGTGTGTGTGTGTGTGTGTGTGTGTGTGTGTGTGTGTGTGGTGGGTGCAGGGAGGATTCAGAGATGGGAGCAAAATAACAGAGAGAATAGGGAAATACATAGAGAAAATGCCTAGGTGTCAACAAAGCAGTATTACTCTGCCTAGCAACTAGGCACTGCCTAACTTCTCTTTTTTAAACACAGATCCATAATGCTTAACTTCACCCAGATTTGTTGCAAAGTTTAATGCTAATAAAAAACTCTATTTTGACTCTATTAAACTTGCTGGCATGCAAGACCACAGGAGAAAGAAACACTACCTACTTTTTTTTGGTTTATTATCCACACAGCAGGGGAAACTGTGACAATATACAGAAGAGGAAAACAAGAAGTTTGATAACCACCACACCCTTTTCCAATTTGAAAAAAGTTCGTATTTTTCCCAGTTTTGTCCACCTAACAAAAAACTCCTACATAAAAGAGTAACCCTACATTAAACCTACTCCAGGTTCCCAGCAGTAAATAGATTAATCCTCCAATCTTCTGTTCTACAGAAAAAGAAATGGAACCCCGTTTCCTTTGTTCCAAATAGAAACTATCTACTAAAATTGGTGAACTATATACATCATGGGAAAACAGGATAACAAGGTTGAGATAACAGAATGAAAATGCTATGACTAGAACAAATCATCATAGAATCTAAAAGCAGACCCAATTTAGCCAAATACACATTACTGTTTCAAATTCACCATGCATTTCAGCAATGATGTATTCAATTTTTTTTCAAAGACTTGAATAATAAATGTGAGTAAACTTTAAATAAATGTTCTAGGATTGGAAATCTTACTGCAGAACCTACATCCATATCGTGCCAATCTCGACATTAAAAAACAAAATCACAAAAATACACCTATCTTCTTATGCTACCATATTGCAAAACTAAACATTTTTCCGAAACAACATAGTAAGCCGCTGAATGAGAATAAAATTTTGCTTTGCAATATGACCTGATAAAGTGGATAGATTCTATAAACTGCAGTTCTGTGACACTAATGACCATAGAAGTGTAGTTTGTAAAATTGGATGAGAAACTGTAATCTGATGACAGGTGTCATGGACTGGGCTGACATGTGGCCATGTGGGCCAAGACCAAGCTACCTAAGTGGGATGGGATGAAGGACTCTAGCTACCAAAGCAAGGAACAACGTTCAGAGACAGGATCGAACAGAACGAGAATCTTGAGTCATCTTCCACCTCTCACCAAGAACCTCTCCCTGCTATTCTTGCTTGTTATCTCTCTGATTATTTGCTTCCTCTACCCAATTCCCTTTTATTCCCCAAAGATTGAATCCCCAAACAATCAAATATTGCTGTAACTGTGACTTGGCGGTCTAGGACTGTGACAACAGGTCTCTGAAATAGCATTATTTTTAAAATATACTAAAACTTATACAAGAAATAAATAATTTCTTGTAGTATATATAAGAAAATATTAGATGAAAGGTTGAAGCAAAACATCTACAACAGAAAGGAAATAGGCTAGTCATTGCAATTAACCAACATGAGCTAGGGATTCAATAAACCTAAGGATTGTAAAATTAATTATTAAGATGAGATTGTAGATAACACCAGAACCAGACTAGCTATTACGAAGTGAGACTACAAAGTGAGATTAGATTGTAGATGGTAGTGAACCTCTTTTATGTGACTATGGACTAGCTATTACAAAGTGAGATTGTCTCAATAGAGGTGATTTTAATAGCCTGCAGACATGAGGAATGAAAAATGTGTTTGGATCAGTGACATTGCATAGCCTGCAATGGATAGAGTTGCATACATTCTTCTTCTTTAAAACTTTTTTTAAAAAAAATTAAGTCCATTTGTTGTTCCTCTGAAAACAATACGTATACAGGACAACTTACTTCCTCATATTGTTTCTCAATGTAAAGAATGTGTATTCCAACTTATATTGCATTAATCACTGACGACACCTCACAACTGCAAAGAAAAACAAGCCCACACCACATATTGTCTGTTCCTTCCAATTTTGTGTTTATCACTATCTATTCACCCGCTTTTCCTTGCTAAAAGACCATATCGTTGTTCCTCCGGCAGAAAAAAAAAACAATAGGAAATCAAATGAGAACAAAATAACCTAAATCCCATCTTTTCCCGTGTCCCCCCAAAATCATCCGTTATCTCTCTCAGCAGCCAAATCACCGCATATCCTGAAAGTACACACCAAGGCACTCACCAGGCCTCGACGACGACACGCTTCCCTCCTGCCACCGCATCACCCCCATCCTCCTCCTCTGCCGCTGGCGCCGCCGCCTCGGCTTCCTTCTTGCCCGTCTTCCTCCCCTTCGGCTCGGTGGCCACCGTCACCGCCTCGTCTTTCATGGCTCTCTTCCTAGCCTTCGGCTCGGCAACCGCCGCCTCGTTTTCCTTCTTAGCTGGCACTGCCTTCGCCGGAGCAGGCTCCGTTCCCCGCTTCCCTGCAGCAGCCATGCTCCGCGTCTTCCTCGGGGACCCCGCCGCAGGGGCAGCCGTCGCTGGGGACTTGCGCTTGGGAGGCATCGCTGGGTGGGTTGGCTCGCCTCTCCGTGCACTTGCTTGGGGTTTCGTGCCGCGGAAGTGGGAATGGAATGGAACAGAGAGAGACGCAGAAAAGTTACTACTCCGTAATAGAGAAGGCGGAGGGGAACGGGAAAAGGCGCGAGAGAAAGGGCTTTTTCCCGCCAATAGCAAGTGAGGGTGATGAGGTTATGGAATCATGGGCTCTTCTTCGGACATATAGAGAGGCAAAAAAGTTTGCAGGCTTGCTGCACTGCAGCCCAATAATGGACGTAGGTGCACTAAAAGGACCCGTTACATTGCAACTAATCTATTTTCCTAATAATAAAAAGGTAAAATTTCTACTGCCAATAATTTTTCATCCAACCTAAAAATTTTAAAGTATCTCGGTCTCAGCCATCGTAGAACCGTCTGTTTTTCATTTTTTTTTGAGTGGAATACATTTCCGTCCAGTGTTCTTTACTGGTTCTTTTTTGTTTCTTTATGTTTTTCTCCCTCAGATGGAAACCCACTTTCGGTTGTGTAAATGATTTTTTGTCTCCATTTTTTATAAACAAAAATAATAAATAACAAATATAGCATCTCTCCCTCCGGAGATCCAAATACGGAAATACCATACAAATCCCAAATACGATATAGATCCAAATCAGACTACCTCAATAAGACTGTCTCCAACGGCCCGCACCTAAAAACGAGAGGCATTCCATGATTTGGGTAGTGTACAGTGAAAAGGTCACGGACCCAATACTTTCCTTTTCCAACAACCGACGCAAACGAGAACCCCGGAACGCCGCGTCGGGCCGCTCCCGTCGCTGGCGGGGAAGCCCCGGACCACGAGTGGGAGTTGCTCGTCGACGTGCTCCCGCCGCCCGTCGCCAGATCCGCCGTCGAGGCGCTCCCGTCCGCCGTCGTTGTGGTCTGCAAGGACGGGGTAGCCGCCGACGGCGTGAATAGCACATGTTCTTCTTTCTTCTTGTCCTTGGCAGTAGGAGTCGCCGGTGTCACGCCGTGGGATGAAGGGCGCTGGAGCTCGCAGGCGCGGTGAGGCGACGGGACGGATGCGGGCGGCCCCGAGGCCTCACCGGAGCCGGGTGCGCGCGGCCATGGCGGTGGAAGAGGAGGCGCTCATGGGGGGCAGCGCGTGGCTGCAGCTCGTGAGCTCGCGCGGCCGCACCTCGCAGCCTCGCCGGGCGCGGCCACGACAGTCGCCGCGGGGTGGCGGATGCAGTGGCAGGCGACACAGGAGAGATTGGGGCCGAGCGCAGAGCAGAGGACGGCGGGAGGCCAGCGCGTGGAGACGCAGAAGGACGGAGAGAGGACACTTATTTGAGTTCCGCGTCCGCTCTCACCCAAAATGCGTCGCTCGTTTGCCTACTCCGTTGGAGCTCGTTTGATGCGGATAAAACACGGTAAACAACCCATTTTTGATTTGGGTCACGATGCCTACTTTATTGGAGTCAGTCTAAGGAACAACTCCTCAAATCAAATCAATAAATCCATTGTTTCTTCTTCCTTTATTCTATCAAAAGAAGAAATCAAGAACTCCACACCAACGGCGTTGCTGAGTCCGGGTCGTCGACGAGGTGGAGGCAGGTGTGAGACGAGGTCGTGGACGACGGGATTTGGCACGTCAGGTCGACGAGGAAAGCAGAGCGGCGAAGCTCGGTCCGACGGTGGAGTACGACGGCGAGGAGGTAGGTGTCCGGTGGTGAGGTTCGGCACTAGCTCCTGGTTGGCGTTGCGGGCGGTCTGTGGCGGCGTTCGGGGCCTGCGAGGCTAAGAAAGATGGCGCGGCATCGTGGGCAGAACCGAAGTTGTCACGACCGGTGCTCGGAGTCGTTGGCGTCCGTGGAAACGGTGGTGAGGTTCTGGGTAGGCGTGTGTCGGCGGTCGGAGCCCGGTTGTTCGGCGGTGTCCGCATGGCGACGTCACGGGGCGCGGACGTCAAGACGTAGGCGTAGCGGCGGAGATCGGTGCGGTAACGAATCCAGATGCAGGGCGAGACGGCGGGGTGGCGAGCTCGCGGCGGAGATGAGCCTCCGGCTTCACGGCGTTGGCGCGGTCCACCACGGAGAGGAGCAGAGGAAGGGAGAGGGAAGAGAGGTGCAGTGCACCGCCGAAGCCGCTGGCTCAGTGTCGCAGCAGCAGCCGCTGCCGGAGGCGGACTCGACGAACAGCCGGTTCATGGCCCTGGAAGGCATCCTACGGATCTCAATCTCGCTAAAAGTTCTTCCGTTGGCAGAGAGGCTCGGACTCCTCTCGCCGGCAAGTGAGTTAGGAGCCGTGACTACATGGAGCTCAACGACGATAATGGGTTGAGAGCCTGACAGCGGTGGGTAGCCAGCAACATCACTTAAAATATAATATTTATTTCATATTTATATAGCGCTATATGTAAATGTTTCAATATCTATTTTTTATTTTCTCCAATAATAGAACGTAAAGAAAACTCATTCTGTAAATGAGTTTTCAGAAGAGAGGATACTCAAATTTAGGTTGGCTGCAACCAAAAATGGATTGTGGGAGGTAGAGAAGCTTAGTTCATGGACCATGACCCCACGTGCAAGTGTCATACAATTTTTTTTTACCAAAACCACGACGCTAGAGTATTCCCAAACATACCTTTCTTTAACACATTTTTTGTTAATTAATCTGACACTAATTTTTTTCTTTAATCCTTTTATTTTCCCAATTCCTGTGGTATAGATTCCTGTGTTAGAATATTGCCTAATAATTTCACGTATTTCCATTTACATGAATTATCACTGTGTCATATACACTTTTGTTTCATCTTAAGTTTACAATATAATATTTTTCCATTGCAATACACGCTACAGTGTCATGTCCTCACCGGCGGAGCCCAACTTTATACGTGGTGTGACTCAGCATGCGCGGATGTGTAGTTTGCTTTTCATATTTGTCAGCTTCACAAATAGGTGGATATAATAGTCTAATGTAAGGTTAATACTTTATTGCAATGCATTTAATTATTGGCCTTCATATTTAATTGAAATAAGGTTGGTCCAGTTAAAATCAAACAAAGATAGCTAGCTTTAGGGTGCGTTTGGCCGGGCTTCCGCCAGCTCTGGCTCCCACACTGTAGCGCGCAGGAGCTGGAGCCGGAGGAGCAAAAAAAAAAACGAGCTTCTCCGGCTCCAGCGCTGTCAGTGAGAGAGGAAAGGAGGAGAGAGAAAAATGACTCCGGTGAACAGTGTCGCTACAGGAGATGAACAGAGGAGGAGTTAGAGGAGCCGGAGCTGCTCGGAGCCCAGCCAAACGGGCTCTTAGATGACCACGCAACGTCCTGTTGCGACACATGAACACGATTGCTATTGGTACGAGTATCAGACAATAAATTGTATCCTCTAAAAAAATAATAAATTGTACACCCCAGGGTAACACACGGGCATGTTTTGCTAGTTAAAAGAAAACTTGGAATTTTGATATTATCAAATTTGGACTTCATCCATTTGCCATTATGAAATTGGTTTTAGTCAGAATGTCATTATCAAACATAGTGCACATGCTAAAATGCCGTTCTCCTAATGTGTACCTCAGATTTAATTATTTGTTTTCTAAAAACAATCACCAAGCTTTCCCGTTCTGTCTCTACCTCTGATGCATCACCTATTCCACTTCCATTCATTCATGTCGACTTCCGTCCCAACCAGCGCCAACTCCATTACAAGAAAAAAAATCGCCACCCATCATCTTTCTCACTACACAAGTCGTAGGCGCCTAGTATTGCACCATTGCCCATACATCGCATGCATGCCACAGATATCTCCATAAGATGAATCTCTCATTTGGTGGATAAATACGAGTACACAACATAACTGCAACAGTCCAAAAATGTTGTGCCTTAGCGACCAATGACCTTGAATGGTTGCTCATAATCTTGCGGAGTGCAATCAACTAGCCACGAGAGCACTTGTCCTACAAGCAATCAAAGAACTAACAAAAACAAATAGAACAAGCATAGAATTGCTAAATTAATATGAAGATTTCAATTTGAAAACACAAGATGGTGGGGGTTCAATACAAGTAGACAGACGATCTAGCTGGTAAGAAGCAACGGCTAAATGAAAATTAACAAAACACAATCAATTCTTCATGGTGGCTCAAGAGACCTATGAGTAGGTGGAAGGACAACCACAAGGGTCATGCTCCAACCCTAGGATGTCTCCTAAAGGATCCAACCTGATATATGGGCTAACAGGTCAAAATAGGGCAACACAACACCATGGGCAGGAAAAGGTCTTGGCATTAAAATGAAGGTTGAACTTGATTCGAACATGATATGAGCATGAGGTTTGATGCGTTGGAAACGACAGTTGATAACTTTCCATAAAGTACTATAAAGTTCCAATTGGAGTCCCTATGAAGCCATGACAACCATCGCAAGTTGGAGTTGTTCTACAATCTGAATCCAACTTATAGAATGTGTTGATTTGAACTCTTTCTTTTCTTGGGCCAAAAGTGATATGATGGGCTGGTGGAAGATGTTGGGAGTACTTGGACTTGGTCCCCAATCAACTTCATTAACCGTCCATGCTCCCAATATGCAATCAACTCGTCACAAGTTGGTGTTGTCCCGCAGTCCGAATCTAACATGTATGAATCCCTTTCTGTGTTGATCTTTTCTCTTTTTCTTGTTGATCTTCTCCATTCCTAATCAACACAAAAGTGCATGGGTCTCCTTGGTATAAATAACATGGACACAAACCTAAGAGTGAACCCACCTAATAATTCAAATGGATCTATGGATGCCTAGAAGGGGGTGATAGCCTAATTAAAATTTCTACAAACAACACTTGGTAAACTTGTTAGAATGGAAGGAGGCCCAAATAAGTACTACTTCTAACTATGATCTTCCAAGCCTAGGGTGATCAAGGACTACACAATTCAAAAGAACAATAAGGATTAAGCTATATCACTAGAAATGTAGAAAGCTTGCTAGGTAACATCCTAGGATGACAAGTCCACTATCTCTACTTGTATAA